TGTTGAGGTCTTGTACTAAGGCCCAGCTGGAGGAGATTGCTGGGAGCATCTCCATAGGCTCGGTGCTGTCCCTGCCAGTACCTTGGAGAAGCAGGAAGGGGCAAGATGGAAGAACTGCTCCCTCTCCTATAGTGTTTCCCTGAGCAAGCAATTGGCTGCTTCCTGTGGTGGGTGAGCAGAGCCTGGTTGGGTGGTGGTGCAGATATGACCTTAGGGCCTCCTCATAGCGGATGGCAGCTGGGAGAGGTAGAGCAAAGACATTACCCATTTCCTTACGATCCCACCCCCACCCCCGCCCACACACACTCCTGCTCCCTCTCTGGCTTTTGCTTTCTGTGTCTCCTCTCCCCCAGTGATGGTCCTTCCTGGAGACAAGTTGAATCTTAGAGCTGTTGTCTCCATGGAAACTTTTCTTGCCCAGGCTAAATCACTTCCCTGGACTAGGATCTGCCATCCTTTACCAAAGAGGTGAAGTGGAGCCTCTAGCCAAATCCTAGGCTCTCTATCTGTGATCTTTCCTTGTCCCAGGGGCTCCTATTAGGCGTTTACATACAATTAAAAAGTAATAAGGAAAAAGTGCTGAGTTCTCCAGGGCACTCAAGGGTGGGAGGACTGAACATTAACTTCCCCGCAGGCCCAGAGCCAGAAGCACTGTGCAGTCAGCTGGAGCATCTGCTGCTGCTGGTCCTTTTGAACACTCGTAGTTGGACAGGGAAGCTGGCTCCCATAGCGGGAGCTGGGAGCTGCTTTGCAAGCCCCCACCCTGCGGATAGCCCTGTGACTGAGGGAGCCAAGCAGGCTTACGCAGCTGTCCTCCAGCTTCCATCTGGGCCCTTTCCACCAGGATGAGCCTAAGATCAGAGTGCCACACACTTTTCTCTCCAAGTCTCTCTACAGTTCCTCCCCTCCTTCCTCTGGCCACTACATCCTGGCACACACTTCTCCCCCCACCCGACTCCCAAGTGGCAGCCCCAGGCGTCCTATCTCACCTGCATCGCCTGGGCCTCTCAGCATCTTTCCACTGCCTGGACCTTGGTGGGGCAGTCCCATGGTGCTAAAGGGAGAGGTGTACTCCTAGGGACCATGAAGGATGACTCAGAGTGAGGCTCAGGGTTTAGGGTCAGTGAGCCAGAGAGCAGAACCCAAACCTTTTTTGTCTCCATGTCCCTGCCCCCATCTTGTTCATTCTCTTCCTCCACTAGTCCAAAGCACAAAGCCCAGACCCTTAGCATTTCAGAAATGCACTCAGGTATAAATTCCACTGTTCTCTGGCCACAAGCTCATTCTTTCACAATTTGGCAGCCAGCTCTGATGACACTTGTGGGAAAGTCAGAGAATACCTGTCCTCACCTCTCCATCTTCTCTGTCTGATGCTCGGGATTGGGGTTGGAACTGGGGAGGCTGCAGGCCCAAAGATTTCTTTTGCTTTTTGTACCCAGCATCCCCTGCAGTGCCCTGTACCGAGAAAGACTGACAATACTGTAGTCACCACCACAGAAGTCAGCGCTGGGCTTCCCCTTAGGAGCTGGGGAGAGTGTGGGCTTCCAGCTGCTTGGAAGAGCTGGGAAGACCATTGTCTTCACCAGCAGCTCCCAGTACAGGGTCCTGTTGCTGAAGTACCGGGGAATAAGCTGGCCAGGATGTTGCTAACGTTTTTGACACTTTCCTTGGCCCCGAGGGAACCCAGACTGGAAGATGCAGTGTCCATAGAGTAGACCTAGAGGCCCCGTCCATACTGAGCAGAGAAAGTGGATGCCCTTTTGTGGTGATTGGGGTAGGAGGCCATGAAGGTAAGGGGTTAGTGGGTAGCCATGTCTACATATTGGTTGGGGCTCCAGAAGAATTGATGAGAGCAGGGGATGTGGCAGTGCTGGGGCTTCGTGGGTGCAGCCGCTCAGCAGGATGGTCATGATAAATACCAGCATGGAACTCCTCCCACAGAGCCACCAGACACCGAGTTCAGCCTGGGGCTGGCATGCACAAACCCATCTCACCTCCCCAGACTGTAATTCTACTCCAGAAGTTGGGTAGGAATGACCTGCTGGGACTAGGATCAGCTTCACATGCATGGCAAACTGAGGGGGCAGGAAGCTCCCTTTTTGCCTCTGCATCCATTTCCTATGGCAGAGGTTTGTGAGGAGGACAGAGCAGCTATATCCTGTCTTCCTTCAGCCCAGGGAAGGAGTAATGTGTGTAATGGAGTTTACAGAGGACAGACTCGGAGGAGAAAGAGCTTGTGGCAGAGGCGGACACCCTTAGAAACTCAATCAGAGGGAGGACTCAAGCGTCAAGTCAGACTCCTGGCACCCAGCCTCTAGAACTCAGCAGGAAAGGGACCTCAGGGTTCATATACCAACTGTACACAGCATTCTTCCCAAGTGGTTTGCACTAGGTGACCCTATAGATGAAGAGGCTGGACTTCTGGCCTCTGCTGAGGGGCCAAGGGTGCATCTGCCCCAACTCTGACGGGACAGCAAGAGGTATTCACCAGTGGCCACAGCTATGGCTAGGAGACTGTCCTCCATGGTGCCCTCTGCACAGGCAGCAGCGGTGGCAGAGGGGTGCCAAGAAAGGGCACTTTCTTAAACGATCTCAAGGACAGCCACAAGACAGGCTTCCTCTGCACCCCCACAACCCACCATCCCCACAGGGCCAACCCCCAACCCAGGATCCCTGATCCAGAGGAGCAGCTTCATTCAAACCCAGGGTGTCTGTGAGCAGCCTTCCAGGTTCTCAGCTTCTGCCCCTGATCTGTTCCATTGCAGGACCTAGGGTCCCATAGATGACACCACTCTGCAGGCCTGGCAGCCACGAGTATCCCTCAACAACCTGCAGAAGAAGGGGCTGGCAGGAACAGGCTAGGCTTCTGCTAACCCCAGAAGACAGCCAAGGGGGCTCCACTCACCCAGATCCATGCACCTCTCAGTCAGGATCCCCTCCCAGCCCTACTCTGCCCTGCCCCCTGCTTCCCAATGGCCCAGCTAACAGGGCTCCAGATGCCAACTGACTGTCCTCTGGTCTTTGCTCTCCTCTCTAATGGAACAGAAGTGTCCATGGTTGTTCTGGAAACCAGGCACAAAACAGGAAAGACTTCCCAGTGTCTCTCCCTCCATCCAAAGGGACTCTTGTGCAGCTCTGGGGGCCCGGCCACCTTCCCCCACCCTACTTCCACCTGGCTGTTACCCTAGTTTTGACCCCAGGGGTCCAACCAGGGGACTATTTCAAAGCCTCAAAAAGCTCAAGCCTTGGCCTGAGCTATCCCTACCGAAGGATGAGGGTGGAGAACAGTCAGAGAAGCTGCACTCCAACTTGCCTCAGTGACCTGGACAGGGAGAGGACTGGAGAGGCCCTCTGAACCTGTCAGGAGTCGTGAAGCCTACTCCTGGTCCTGCATTGCTTCTAACTCAAGGGGCCAAGACAAACTAGCCAGAGCAGCGGGGATGGGGGGACTTCTGGTTCTGCCAGCCTGCAAATTAGAATTGCCAGGGGGAATTCTGAACCCACATCAGTGTTGAGCTGCCACCTCAGACCAGTTAACTCAGAACCCTCAGTTTGGATTCCCATCCACTGAGCTAAGCTCAAAATGTTCACAGCAGGTGACTGTGTAACCAGGACTTGGTGTAATTGGACAGGAGTGGCAGGGGCTGAATCAGGACACGTCCCACCTAAGTTCAAAAAAATAAGACTCTTTAAACAGTTGTGCTAGTCCAGCGACAGCATAGCCACAGCCTGGCCTGTGCATCTTTAGCAGATTCTAAATGCTGTTTATGCCTGATACTCTACACCTAGTTATTACATTGTTTTAATAGAGCTAAAGGTTGATGTAAGACAGAACAAAACCTTTTAGAGAACCAAATCAGAGCTTCAAATGTTCACTAAAATAGGAGCCAGAAAAAAGCAATCATCTCAGCCCTTGAACCCAAACACTATTTCCTCGAAGTTCTTGGTGTTACCTTCTTCCTCTTCACCTGCCTTAGCAGCATAGGAGAATGTAGTGACAGAGTGCCGTGGAATCCTCCTGCCTCCTTCTGAAGCATGCAGCCACCACCTAATAGCTTTGACTTTGGGTTCATTTCACTTTCCTGGCCTGCTAAAGGAAAATACGAACATGGCCTGCCTCAAAGAGTTGTGAGGATTAAGTGACATACTCCATGCAAGGTCAGTGCAGTGGCTGAACAGATGAACATCCCAACACTGCCATTGGTGGACAGTGGTGCCCTCTCCTGGCAGCTTGAAAAACCTGACATATGGCAGCCTGGGTTCAAACTGAGCTTTGTTTCCCAAGCTGAGGTGACTGGGCCAGCATGACTGGATAGATAGGGTGATTTTAAGGGTTCTGAGAAACCTTCACCCTTGTTCCCACATTAAGTAAGCTGTGAAGGACTGATACTGAGCCATGGCTGGCAATGGCAGGAAAGTAGGACGGGAGAAAGGGCTTGAGAGAAGGAGGGAGGCTGGACAAACCTTTCCAATATGGCTCTCCTAGGTCCTAAGGCAGTGGATCGGAACCCATGGCACCGCTGCTCCTGCTTCTAAAGGGGGCAGTGGTGACCACCAGGTCCTGGCTGGAACTGGCTGCCTCTGTTCTTGAGGTGCCCCATACAAAACTCTGAGCTGGGCAAGAAACGGAGCAAAGGCTTCTGGGATGGGTGGGCCCTGGTGACTCCAAAGACAGAGAAGTCAGCCTCTGCCTCAGCCTGGCAGCGAGGGAGGAAGTGCTGGGTCAGGACTCTGAAGAACTGAACTGGCTCACCTGGTGGCCCACTGGGTGGCAATGAGGACGTCTCTGAGCCTCTCTGGGCCTGTTTACCCCTCATAAAGGAGGGATCTGGATTATGGGTTCTTGTGTCCCTTCTGGCTCTTGGATGGATTTTAAACTGTTCTCACTCTGGGGCAATTAGACCCTCCACCTTCTGCCAAAGTACCAGCCAAAACTTTTAGAAGACGGCCCAACAGTGCTGGCTCTCTGACACCCAGGAGGAAAAACACAGAGGCTCCACTGAGAGAGATAGAGATATATTTCTTCTGTTGCATATTTCAGACTTCACACTGAGCTTCAGGCACAATGCTGCTCCAGGTTCTTCTGAGAGCCCTGGCATAGTCTTCTTCCCATGTTGCTCATGAGGGCTTACCACTCGAGGGCAGAAACCCAGGCCCTGCTTGCAGTTCTGGGTACCTGGGAGACTGCAATGGTCTCAGCAGGCCCTGGTGCCCTGTCTTTCCCATCAAGGGGCAGGGTATGCTGGAAAGCCCTAGAGCCAGCCCCGCCCCCTCTTCTGTGGTCCCCTGGCTACAAGAGGAGAGGCTGACCCATTAGAGTCCAGCTCTGCAATGCTTCCCTAATCACCCGTTCTCTAGCTCTCAGAGCCTGCCACAGCACTTGTAGCCCCAGAAAGCCTCAGCCGTGAGCACCTCAGGCCAAAGCTGGGGGATGAGGCCCTAGAGAGTGAGGCAGACCCAGCCTCCTCCAGAGCAGCAGCAGATGGGCTTGTCTGGCCCCTGCTCCCCAGAGCCTTGGCCCACTTCCTGGCCCTGCTCTGGGCCCTATTGCACATCTTTTGTTTCCAGTTCATTCCCCACCACCCATTTTCCTTTTAAAAAAAAGAAAAAAAAATTAGAGGAGAAGGTGAGGAAGCTAGAGCCCTTCTCCCCATGTTCCTGCTAACATCTGGTCCCCAGCAGAGCCATTTCAGTGGTAAATACTATGCCCACCTTCCCTGCCGTCTGTGGGTTCTTGGTGGCTGATAAGGGTGTACAGCCTGGGCCTCTGGTTCTTGCCTGTGAGGGAGACAGCCCTCTGTCATCTGTAAGGTGCAATTTCCTGGGTCTTCCGGAGGCGCTGGCTGGGACCCTGCTACCTGAGTCGCCCATCTGCTTTGACAGGCCCCAGCTCTGATTTGGGGTCCGGGGACAGAGAGCTCCAGCTGGTCAGTCTGCAGAGCTCCAGGGAGGGACAGGTGGAGGGGCCCATGGCACACAGTCCGGCCACAGACCAGAAGCTGCTCAGTTCCCCATCTGTCCAGGCCTCCAGCGCTGGGCCAGTGAGCTCTGCATGTAGTCGGGCAGCCTCCTCCGCAGGCTCTGGCTGAGGCAGGTTCAGGATGCCACTCAGGCCCTGGAAACTCTGTTCCATATACTCGTTGTGGGGTGGCCCAGCGTGCAGCCAGCTGGCATCATCTGGGGGTGCAGAGCAGGAGTAAGCATGCCCCACCCGAAAGATCTCATGTCTGAGCACCCCAGTCAGTCCTGTCCCAACTCTACCACTGAGTCGCATCTTGCTGAGTAACTTTAGACTAATCCACAGAACTTTCTGTGCTTGTAAAACTTAGTTTTATAAAATCAAGACAATAATCCCCGAATTCCTAACTTGAGGATTAAATAAAACAGTGGGTTCAAGGTACTTTAGAAAGTAAGGTTATTTTCTGATAATGGTCTGGTTTGTGTCACCCATGCCCCTTCTCAATCACCTCCAGTGGTCTCCAGAGCCCTCGGAAGCCTAGTACTCAGGCCTTTAGGCTACAGGCCCTGCTTACTCTGCCGGCCTTCCTTCCCACCTCCTTTGGCATCCTACTCCCTTCCACCCTCTGTTCTCCTCATGCACTAGACCCCTGCTAACTTTGTATCCCTCAGTTTAGAATATCCTTCATTGTCTATAAAAATCAGCTCCTTCAAGACTCAGCTCCAATAGCACTTGCTGTCAAGCTTGCCTCCACCACCCCACCCTTCATCTCCTCCATCAGACTGTGAGTCCTAGGAGAGCAGGGGTGCCTGTTCTGATCTGCCACAGCCACTGCCCCACCCTGGACCCCGTCCTCTTCTGGGTTACCTCTGCTCTGACCCACCTTCTCAGTGATGGGACATGGCTGGAGGAAGAAAACATCTACCTACTTACTGAACATCTACTGTATACCAACCACTTTTACCCAGATATTCACCCCTAATAGCCCCCAGAAGGTAGTCACTTGTATTGGGCCCCCTGCAGGAACCTACAGCCCACGCCTAGTTTAGAGCCTGTCTCCTAGCCTTAGCTATGTGACCTTCTTAACCTGGCTACCCATGGACTGGGAAGAGGACCAACATCAGATCTGCTGTCCTAAGAATGTGGAACTTGTGGACTGAGGGGCCCTGGTCAGTCTCCGTTGCACTGAGAGGCCATGTATTGAGAAGCCTGAGGCTGATCCAAACAGCACAGGATGAGGGACAAGGTGGCCCCGGAGAGACACGTCTGAGTTCCAGTGGGACCTGACTCATTTCCTGAGTTCCGTGGGGGAAAGCCCCACATTTTTCCAATAATTTCCCCCTTTCCCCTGGAGCAATTTGAGTGGATCTATGTTCCACACACCCAGGAGGTCTCTAACAATTGTATTTCTCTTACTTTACATGTAATAAGACTGAGGCTCAGGAAGGCCCAGTAATTTGCCAAGAGTAAAAGCCCAATTAAAGTGTCAGAGCTGCGTTCTAAAGCCAGGTCTGCCTGCCTGGGAAGCATAATACCAGAGTGCAGGGTTCTAGGATGCTTATGGATGGATGGGCAAAGCCACAATCTGCCCCCTTCCCCTTCTCTGATGGTTAGCTTCTTGGGATCACCTGTCTACAAATCCTATCCTGCCTGACTCCTGGGTATCATTTGGGAACTAGATACTTACCTTTCCTGAGAGGTAGTTTGCGGTTGAAGGTCAAGGGCAGCACGAGGAAGTGAGTCTCACCCAGGGGTTCCCAGAACTGAAGCAGTCGAACAGTCCAGGCCCCTGGCCGCAGGGGCCGACTCAGTGGGGGTTTGTACTGCGTGACCTCCGTTTCCGCGTCTACCACGATGTCATAAGATGTGGCCACCACATAGGTGGGGTCGATCCATACCACGGTGACTGTGAGGTTGGGGCCCCGGGCCCAGCGCTGCATGGCCACAGGCTCGTCCAGCGGCCCCAGCAACCCCCCAAAGTTCCGGAAAAGACGCTCTTTGGGGTCCCACTCGGTGCCAACCTGTAGGGAAGGAGGCAGCTGGGCAGAAGCCAAGGGAAAGTCCTCCTCTCTACCTGCTGCCCCCTCTAACTCCTGTGGGACATCAGGCCAGTCACTGTCTCTTTCTGTCCTCAGTCTCCCCCTCTGCAAAATGATGGGCTCAGACTGGGATTCTTAACATCTCTATAAGCTCTGAGGTTCATTCTAGGCTCCTGTTCTGACCTGCTCTGAAGTGTTGGGGGCAGTAAGGTAGAAATGAGATTCGAAGTCCTGCCCGGAGACCATCCCCACATGGAGCAAAGGCCTCCAAGAAAGAGACCAAGGAGACACTCAAAAGCCTAATCTTCTGGCCCAACTGGAATGTCCAACTCCTTATAGAAGAAAATCCCTGGGTGCAGAATACAGGCTTGTGTTGTAGTGGAACCAAGGTCCCCTCCCCGCTGACTGCATGTCCTCTGTGCATCCCAAGGCTGCCATCACTGGGAAAGAAAACCCAGGAATCCAGTCCTGAAAGGCAACCCAATCCTCAGCCCTCCCTTAGTGTCTGTCCCTCTCTCCCCACGACCCTGAGTCTTATGGGGAACAGGAGGAAGCAAGGGGAGGACCTGTCCCACCTCCAAACTCTGGAGCCGGCTGGCCTGGTCACTGTGCCCCAACAGCTTCAGCGACCCCTGGGGCATCAGCCACATCTCAAGCGTCTCTGCCGGCCCCTGGGCTGAGGACTGCACCACCTGCGTCACCAAGTAGCCCTGGAAATGGTCGTCATAGAAATACAGGTGCACACTGGACGGCAAGCCCCTGGGCTCAAACCTAAGAAGGTTCCAGCAGGGAGAAAGGGAGATGCCATCAGCACACCCGACTTGGCCTGGAGTCCCAGGAAGGGGGCTCTGGGGGAGTCCCATCCCCAGGTGCTTTCTTTGCCCAGATCTCACACCCACAGATCCTACATGCCTGGCTTTTGCCATCTTCATTTTATTTGCATTTTTCCCTGCCTCAGGCTGGGGGCTCCCTGGGGCAGGGGCTGTCTCTTTCTGATTGTCCTCCTTACAGGGCATTACATCCTAAGAGTCTGCAAAATGTCAAAAGGAGGTCTCACCTGCAGAGTGGGTTGGCCAGGGGGGACGCAGCAGTGGTGATGTGGCGCAGGCTGAGGCGGGCAAAAGCAGTGTAAGCAGTGAGCATGACATCGCTGAGCCCACTGGGGCCATCAGCCACGTCATAGGTGTTCTCCCAGTAGGCCTTGAGGGCTGGGGTGCCGGGGGGGTAGCTGCCATATAGGTGGAAGTCCAGGATTTCCAGTACCTCCTGGTTCACAGTGGACTCAAACTTCCGGGCGAAGAAGGTGGGTCTGGAGACTTGCTGGAGTGGGAAAGGCAAGGAGGGTGAAGGGGTCTGGAGGTCCCAGAGAGCACAGCAGGGGAGGCGCCTTTTCCTAGCACTGCCTAGAGATCAGCCACCGAGGGTTTTTCCTGCCTCCAGTTTAGCCCCTTGCCCCTGGGGGCTGCTCCTGTTGAGAGTCCCCCAGATCCTCTGGTTGGACCACCCAGGATTGTTTCTGACCCTAGAAAGCACCCAGCAAAAAGCTGGGGTGAGGCTCTATCAAGGGCCAGAGATTGGGGGTCATGGGGAAGCACCTGCAGCCGTAGGAAGTCCTGCGGCTTGAAGTCGTTGGGGGAGCAGCCGCACCAGTCCACGATGTGCTTGTACTGGCACTTGCAGCCCAGCTTGCGGTTCCAGTTGGTGACCCGCAGGTTGTTGTCCACAAGGCTCTCGCAGGCTGGACTGTTCTCCAGCACAGTGTGAAAGAAGGACTGTGGGTGGCAGGGCGGGGCAGAGGGTGAGCTGTCGAGCCCACCACTTGCCCTCCCCCGCCTGGGCACGGGCCCAGTCACCTACCTCGGCTGGGAGCAGCGTGTACGTGTAGAACTGACGTAGCTGGGCCACAAGTGGGTCGTCTGTATACACCACATACTCCACGAAGCTGCGAGTTAGCACGAACCAGTCCGAGCCGCCGTCCACCACAATGCCTGCTGGGATCTGCCGCTCGCCCAGACGCCACATATGCGAATCGCACTCATGGAAGAGCCGGTCCAAGCCCTGTTTCTTGATGAACCTGTGGGAGGCACATGGGCCTGGGGCTGAGGGTCTTGCAGGGTGGAATCCAGGCTCTCATCTTTCCAGGAACCAGCACTCCTCAATCTATGATTGGTTTGGAGGTTTTGCAACCCAGGGCTAAGGCCACCAAGCCCCCTGTGTGTAGCGCTTGTGGCGAGACCCCAAGACCAGGGCATCCTCTGCCATCCCCTTACCTGGAATTGTCCCGGCCATGAGACTTGAGGAAATTCTTGTCCCGGTTCTTGGACAGGAAAGCTACCAGCTCTTCATTGGTCCTGGAGAGAAAATCGCATGTGGGTAGCGTGTGTGAGTGGCTCAGTCACCAGCCCAGAGCAGACAGACCCCTCCAGCACTCTTTACCTTCACTCCTTGGCCCCATCTTTTCTTACTGAGAGCCATTCTGACCAACTGACCTACTCTAGGCTGATGCTCTGGGGTGGTGAGGATCTGAGTTCCCTGAGAAAGACCACCCCATCCTTCTTCCACCCCTTCCTGTCTGACCCAAGATCCTGGTTCAGACTTCTGGCTTCCTCTCCTCTCCACCTGTTGTCCCTTACAACCCTCATATCATCTTTCAACAATAACTCCTCTAAAACATTGCTGGGGCCCAGGAATCATGTTTGAGGTGTGCAGATCCCAGAATGAGGCTTTGGGGAGGGAAGAAGTCCATTGGGACCCTGGAACCCCAAGTCCTAAAGGAGGGCCACCTCCCATCTGCAGGGCTCAGAGCACCGCCCCACACCTGGTCGGGTAGTCAGTGGCACTGAGGTTGATGAAGAAGTCCCAGGCCCAGCCGGGCACCTCCAGCAGGTCCTGCATGCTCCGCAGATACATCCTCAGCAGGCTGGCCCCGCCCCAGATGGTGACCATGCGCCAGGGCGTTACCCGCACGTTATCATACTGCCGGGCCAGCTCCACTACCTCACGGTGCAGATAGTTGGAGCGCTGTGGGAGGTGGGGTGGTGGTGGTGGAAACTCAGCAGTGGAAGATGAACCCCAGCATCACAACCTCCCCACCCGGCCCCACCCCAGGGCGGAGTACAAGTGACATGAAATGGACAGAGCACGGGCTAGGGCTCCAGCTCTGAAGCAGCATGTCAGCTGGAGCGGGCTGCTCCCCCATTCCCCATTCTCCTATCTCTGGGCCACTGAGCAAGTCAGAGATACTGTCTGTCCATGACAATCTGGGCCTTTGTTCTACTTACTCAGATGCCCTGTCTCCCTGGCCATAGCAGGTACCTTGTCTACATGGACATAGAAGAAATGCTGCCTGTGGTACACAGCCTTGAGGAGACGCTTCAGCTGCCGGATGGCGCGGCCATGAACCACCAGCATGTAGGCGATTCGCACTGGGGGACCATCCACAGGCTGCTGGGCCCGGACCTCGTCCCACGGGATGCCAGGGCTCACCTTTCCTGAGAATGTAGAAGAGGGGCATCAGTGAGGTCCCGCTGCAGGTCACAGGGTGCAGGCAAGATGGGAAGAGGGAGCTGCCTGTCGTCCAAAGGAAGAACCCTAGACGTAGAGCCCAGTGCTCCCGGGCCCCAGGTCCACCTCTGCCACTTAGCGCACTCATCGCCAACCTGGGCAGCGAGGTGTGCCCTTCCGGGCTTTCATCCCTGAGAACTGGGGGCGGGGATCCCTGCCGTACACCCTTTCCCTGAGAAAGACCACCCCATCCTTCTTCCACCCCTTCCTGTCTGACCCAAGATCCTGGTTCAGACTTCTGGCTTCCTCTCCTCTCCACCTGTTGTCCCTTACAACCCTCATATCATCTTTCAACAATAACTCCTCTAAAACATTGCTGGGGCCCAGGAATCATGTTTGAGGTGTGCAGATCCCAGAATGAGGCTTTGGGGAGGGAAGAAGTCCATTGGGACCCTGGAACCCCAAGTCCTAAAGGAGGCCCACCTCCCATCTGCAGGGCTCAGAGCACCGCCCCACACCTGGTCGGGTAGTCAGTGGCACTGAGGTTGATGAAGAAGTCCCAGGCCCAGCCGGGCACCTCCAGCAGGTCCTGCATGCTCCGCAGATACATCCTCAGCAGGCTGGCCCCGCCCCAGATGGTGACCATGCGCCAGGGCGTTACCCGCACGTTATCATACTGCCGGGCCAGCTCCACTACCTCACGGTGCAGATAGTTGGAGCGCTGTGGGAGGTGGGGTGGTGGTGGTGGAAACTCAGCAGTGGAAGATGAACCCCAGCATCACAACCTCCCCACCCGGCCCCACCCCAGGGCGGAGTACAAGTGACATGAAATGGACAGAGCACGGGCTAGGGCTCCAGCTCTGAAGCAGCATGTCAGCTGGAGCGGGCTGCTCCCCCATTCCCCATTCTCCTATCTCTGGGCCACTGAGCAAGTCAGAGATACTGTCTGTCCATGACAATCTGGGCCTTTGTCCTACTTACTCAGATGCCCTGTCTCCCTGGCCATAGCAGGTACCTTGTCTACATGGACATAGAAGAAATGCTGCCTGTGGTACACAGCCTTGAGGAGACGCTTCAGCTGCCGGATGGCGCGGCCATGAACCACCAGCATGTAGGCGATTCGCACTGGGGGACCATCCACAGGCTGCTGGGCCCGGACCTCGTCCCACGGGATGCCAGGGCTCACCTTTCCTGAGAATGTAGAAGAGAGGCATCAGTGAGGTCCCGCTGCAGGTCACAGGGTGCAGGCAAGATGGGAAGAGGGAGCTGCCTGTCGTCCAAAGGAAGAACCCTAGATGTAGAGCCCAGTGCTCCCGGGCCCCAGGTCCACCTCTGCCACTTAGCGCACTCATCGCCAACCTGGGCAGCGAGGTGTGCCCTTCCGGGCTTTCATCCCTGAGAACTGGGGGCGGGGATCCCTGCCGTACACCCTACTGGGCCACCACCTTTCTGCCTAGGCTTGTCTCTTACCAGCCCGCTGGCAGTGCCGGGGCACAGCCTTGGGCATGAGGCTGCCGGCCTGGTGCAGGCACACCACGTTGGCGATCTCCTGCTGGCACTGCTTGGAGCTGGCTCGGGCCAGTGCAGACAGAGCATCCTTGCCAACGATCTCGCACTTGGGCGTGAAGCTGTTGTCTGTGGGCTGGGGGGCGCCCTCCACACTCCCCGTGTCTCCATGCGGGAAGCCAGCCGCCCCAACCAGCGCCTCCTCAGCTGCTGCCCCGCTTAGGTTCTGGCGGCCTGGGGCCTCTGGGGGCGGGGTGGGGGGGATCCGCCGGCCGGTTCTGTGCCGGCTAGTTACTGCCCGTACCACCTTGGCCACGGGCACCCCAGGGCTCTCGGCACGGCCCCGCCAGCGCCCATGCCTTCTGCCTGCGCTGCCCCGCCGCCCAGCTGAACTGTCTGTGTCCTTGGAGCCTTCGCTGGGGTCAAGTGGCTGTGGCTTCTTCTGCCTTCCTTTCTGTAAAAGATAGGCAAACACAAGTCACTAAGACAGTTGCTCTCCTCCTGCTCCTTCAGCTTCTTGCTGGCTCAGGCTTTGAAGCCCCTGCCACCCTTTATCTAGAAAAGTACTGAGCACTCTGCACTTCTGCTGGGAGGCCTCCTTGCCCAGCCGGTGGAGGAAATATCGCCCACCCCCAAGGCACCATCGCATCCACACCCCCTCCATTACACAGATCACAGGGCACTGAGCCTCCTTTGGATTCAGACACCACTTTCTTTTTCCACAAACAGGAAGACGAATAAGAGAAACATGCAGAGACCCTACAGACAAGAGCGTTCATCCAGCACTCCCACCCGGGCTTGACTGGGACAAGATAATGCTCTTCAGAAGGAGAAAGCATTCTGCCATCTATAGTATTTCCACATGGGCATGCTGAAGCTGCGACAGAGCAAAGGGGTCTTGCCTGGTGGAGAGGACAGAGGTGAAATCTGAGACCCCATTGCTGGTTGGGTTCCCTGGGAAGCAGAGACTAAGAGTCAGAGTGCAGGAGACTCCCTGGGGGGTCACACTCTGGATGATGAGGCAGCAGGAGCAGGCAGCTGCAGGGAAAGCCTTCAGATGGCCAAGCTGGCCTGACCTCTGGGCAGAGGGGCAAGGAAGAGCTTCAGACAACAGCTTGGCTTGGAGAGGGCCTTGACCAGCTAGTGGGAAGCTCCAGGGCGAAGACAGCCTAGAGATGGGAGCCCTGGTACTACTGCTGGGAGTGGCTGAGGATGTCTGAGGAGGTGTCTGGCCATGGCTGGAAGGCTGGGGCGTGAAGGCACCTGCAGCTGCAGGCTGGCAACTCATTGCTCCCGGTGGCAGGGTGGCTTGTGAAGGGAAAACTGAGATAAGGGGAAGCCTCCACCCCTGCTTCCCGGCTCCCGCAGCCTCCTCTCAAAACCTAGGAACCTCCCCAATGATCTGGCCACCCTTGAAAGTGTGTATAGCCACACTCGTTCCAGCTTTCCCTGCCCTTCTTTTGTGATCCCCCTCCTTCCCTGCCCGACCAAATTCCATCCATCCTTCAAGATCCAGCGGAGTCTTCATGTGTGAGGCCGTCCCATGAGGCCGTCCCATGTGCCTCAGGGTGGGACGTTCTTCTAGCCGACCAACTCCTTGGGAAGAGGCTGTCGTGTCAGTTCCATCTCCCCAGTGCCCAGTGGAGTGGCTGGCATATTGGGTGTCTGGTTGGTGTCTGCTGGATGAGGCATGGACTGGACGGAGGCGCGAGAGGCCCCGTGTGACTACTCTGGAGTCACCAGGGCTTCCCACTCAGCTCCGTCACTCCCCCAGTTACCCACCTTCTCTGAGCAGGTTCCCTCAACTATCAAATATAGGAGGGAAGAGTGTCCACGAGATAGAGCCTGAGATACTGCAACTAGAAAGAGCTGTTCCCTCTCCCTCTCACCACTCTCTGTGTGAGTCTCTTCCGGCCTGGCCTTCCAGCAGCAGGACTCACTGGACCACAGCCTCTGAAGTAGGCGCCTCAGGATGCCCTCCGGGTGTTTCCCTGGTGCGGCCTCTGTGGCCACTCCTTATCAGTCTTCGTGGCTGACCCTGCCTCATCCCCCAAGGCCACTTTGGGGCCTTTCCTTGTCCACGCTTTCTAGGGGACCTCACTCAGTCCCAAATTTCTCTCTATGGCCTAGAGGGGCTCCCTTGAACTTTCAGTTGTCTAACTGCCAGCCTCCTTGATGCCTCTCCTGGGAGTCTGATAGACCTCTCAAGCCACAAATCCAAAAGTGAACTCCTGATCTTCCTCAGTCGGCTCCTTCTTCAGTTAATGACCAGTCCACCCTTCAGGTTGCTCAGGCCAAAAACATTGGGGCATCACTTGGACCCTTGTTTCCCTCAGACTCCATCATCAGTACACATGTTGGGGCTCCCTTCAAAGGACATCCAGAATTTGATCACTTCTCACTGCTTCCATCATTACCATCCCTGCCTGGAAGCTCTGGTCTTACTCTGGTTTCCTACAGTCCATTCTCAGCAGCCAATATGCCCATTTCCCTACTCCTCTGCTTGAAGCCACCCATGGCTCCTGCTCTGAGGACAAAGCCCAAAGCCCTTACATGAACCTCCAAGGGCAATGGGAGCGGTGTCTGGCTGACCCCCTCCCTTCCTGACCTTATCTCCTACTAACCTCTCAAGCTTACACTCCTCCAGTCTTAATGTAATGGTTTTCTCAGTGCCCCTCCCTCCTACCTGGCATTCACTGTCCCCTGTACCTAGAACATTCTCCCGTTGATGTCCCAACATCCCCTGCCTCCAGTCCCTTGCTCAGGTGGCATCCTCTCAGGCAGGCCACCATGTCTACGGTGGTGGCCAAGGCCAAACTCCAGCTCTCCCCCATCTTCCACTTTGTCTCTCCCACAGCACTTATGTATATGTATAATGTATGTATAAGTATATAATGTATATATGCATTATATACATAATGTGTATATAATGTATAATGTAATATGTATAAATGTATTTTTAAAAAATATTTATTTTATATAAGACCCAGCTATACCGGGTCTTAGTTGTGGTATGCGGGATCTTTAGTTGTGGCACGAAATTCTTAGCTGCAGCAAGTGGGATCTAGTTCCCTGACCAGAGATCAAACCCTGGGCCCCCTGCACTGGGAGTCTTAGCCACTGGACCACCAGAGAAGTCCCTGTATAAATGTATTTATATTGTGCTATTCTATGTTTCTCCCCTTACAAGTATGTAAAGTCCATGAGGATAGAGCTTTTTGTTGTTTTGTTCACTGATGTATTCCTAGAGCCCAGAAGAATGTCTGACAATGGGAGACTCTCTCTCTTAATATAAATAAATTTTTGACCATGCCACACAGCTTGCAGGAACCTAGTTCCCAAACCAGGGATTGAACCCATGCCCTTGGCAGTGAAAGTTAGGCAGAATCCTAACCACTGGACCACCAAGGAATTCCCTCAGTAAATATTTGTTGAATCAATGAATGAATGAAAAGCCCTTGGCGCAGGCTCGGCATTCAGTAAATGCTGTCATCCTTACTAGTATTAATGAAAGGGGACTAGGAAACAGTCACATGTGAAGTCAGGAGAGAAGCCAAGGCCTTCAGATACTCTGGACCATTGGGTCAAGTTTTCCCTGTCCCTCCCCTCCCTAGGACCACCCTCTCCTCCTCATCAGAGCATGGCAGATGCCTTAGGGCCAGAGGCCCAGCATTAAGGCCCAGCCTTAGGGCCAGAGGCCCAGCCCTATACCCTGGCACCCCAGCCTTCTGTGCCCGGCATCCAGCCAGCCCTCTGATCTCTTGGGAGGTGCCCAGTGAGAACTGGGGATGTCTGTCTCCATCTGAGAAGAGATACCTGCAAGAGGGAGGGCAGAGTGGGGAGGAGGCAACAGGCTGTATTCTGTACCCATGCTGGGGAGGGCACCCTGGACTGGGAAGCCCCTAGGAAAGGTGGCTGCGGTCCCACTGAACTGAGTGCATGTAAACTGGTGATGTCGGACCTGGGCACACACTGGGCAGGGACAGACATTCTCAAGCTGAGGTGGGTGGAGATGGCAAAGGAGCTGTGGGTTCTCAAGATGGAGGCCAGTATCAGTGAGTGAGGAAGCTGGTCAGGAGGGCAGGGCTTGGGGCACAGGGCCAGGCTCGCTGTGGTGGGGGAAGGATGTGGGAGGAGCAGGCACATTGGCATCCCGCAATGCAGCAGGAGCTGGCTGACCCTGAGAAGGACAGTCCCAGAGGGGCCTGGGGGACAGGAGGCAGCAGTGAGGAACTGCGGTGGGTCCCCAGTGGGCAGCCAGCCTCTTCCCATTGCCTCATCCCAAGAATGTTTATATGCGCAGCAGCAGGACCTCATACTCGTACCCTTTCAGGAGTTGCCCAAAGTTGCCCCTAAGTCAGAGTTCCCTCTAATTACTGAGGACGGGGACTGGCCCTCTGACATCTGCGGGGATGCATTCTGGCCTCCGAGGCCCCCTCTCCTCACTGAGGAGGAATTCAAAGTCCTTTCCTGGCTCTGTAGCTTCTCCTTGGAATCCTTCTCTGAGTTCCAGAGACAGAGAACAAAGCAATGCTGATCCACCACCTTTGGACTTCTCAGACTGTGCTTAAAGTAAGTGGTGAGACAATGTTTGTAAAAGCTTTGAAAACCATAAAATGGCTCTTTGGATGTTAATGGTCATCTCTGGTCTCCAACCTAGCCCTCACACATGGCCAGAGTGTGCATCTTAAGTGCATATCTCATTTCATCCTTGCTTAGACCCTCTTTGGTTTCAGCACTCTCCCACTGCACTTAGAATAAAACCCCAGCCCCTCACTACGGGCTGCAGGATGTGCCCTAGACTAACTTCTTCCAGGGATCCCACCACACCCTCCTTCCCATTTCTTCAAGGCAGCCAGCTAAGCCCATTCTCCTCAGGGCCTTCTGCCTGAACTCTGCCTTGCTTCCCCAGGCTAACTTTCAGCTCACAGGCCACTTCCTGCAGAAGTCTTCCTCAACCACCTATCTAAATTAGCCCTCTTGTTACTGAGTTTCCTTTCCACTGTCAGTCTCTCCCTTCAGACTGTCTGCCCACAAGGGCCATGACCTCATCATCTATTTTATTTATTTCTGTATCCCCGGTGTTAGCACAGTGCCTAGTATGAAGTAGGACTTTATATTTGTTGAATGAATGAATCCCTATTACCACTGTGCAGTAGTGAAATAATAGTAAGAGATATTTACTGATGGTTTAGCACGTGCCAGCAACTCCTGCAAATACTTCACAGGCATTACCAATGAGAGAGGTGATATTATAGCCCCCATCTTGGGGTGGGGAGCAGATACCATTGAGGATGCACACGGAAGAGGTTAGGTGATTAGACAGTGGTCACACTACTCACCAGGAGCAGTGCTGGAACAGGACATAGGACGGTAAGGTGGGGTGGTTCAACTCAGTGCTCACCTTCCTAAGTACTTAGTATGCTGCCTGGCTGCCCTGAGGTGGCTGCTGAACGGCTCCAAGCACTAATGGCTGCTTGGACTGCACAACCTCTAGGTTATCAAGGATCTTTTTTTCCATTCTGGTCCAGGGATTCCCCTATCAGGTTCTGCTAGGAAGCTGGAGGAGGTGAGGAGGCAGGATCCCAAGCACTGCACCAGTTCTCCACCCCAGGCTGGAGGCAGGGCAGCAGAGACCTTGAGGCCTGAACAGTCTCTCAGCCCTTCCAGAGATTCACACAGCCATGTAGCAGAGGGTCTGAGAAGCCCTGGATGCTTTACCATGCCCCTCCCCAAAGTGGTCACCAGCCCCTACTCACATATATTCCAGGGTCAGAAGGCTCCTTAACTCCTTGTCAGCCCATTCCATGTTAGAATGTCTCATCTGCCCCCAAAAATCATCTCTTCGCCTTCCTGCTACTTACTGGACCACAGAAAACAAGCTCACTCCCTTCAGATGTCACAGAGTCAGCCTCCCCTAACCCCTAACCTCAGCTCCTTTTGGAGTTATGATCTCATGTGACTCTGTCCCAGCTCCCCTCACCATCCTAGTTTGTTGGTTCTCCCCAAAAAAGGCAAAAGCAGTGATTCTCCCAATTTCCACACTAGGCCTTCCAGACTGCCCAGATGCAGGAAGAGAAAATGGATATTAGGGCTCCCTTGGGCTTCACCCTACCAGGAGGAGAGGCCCAAGAGGACAGGTCAGAGAGACTGACTCAGTCCACCAGAACCCAGGGATGGGGGCGGGGAAGCCCTGTTCTCTGGTCCACAGCTTAGGGTCAGGGTTTGACTTATCCTCTTCAACCTTCCAGGATGGTCTCAGACCCCACTGGACCCTCCTGATCACACTGGGGAAGACATGTCTAATCCTCCAGGGAAAACCACATCAGCCAAGAGACTCTCAGAACGAGGACCTGAGGGCTAAGAAGAATGGGATTTGCCCCTGCTCCACAGCCTGGGGCTCTGCTAAACTAGCTGCTGCTGTCCCCATTCTCTTACGGTCAGAGAGGGCGAGTCCCCAATTCCCTAGTGTCCTGAGGTCAATTCACCAGCTCAATTCCCCTACCATTCTCTTAAGGAGACCCACGCAGGTGCTTCAGACCCCTGGCTGAAGAAGCCACGCCTCAGGGGCACTCCAGTTCTCTCCCTCGGGGTCTCCCTCCCTCTCCTCAGTTGCCAGACTGAGTCCCACCCCCAGGCTCCACTTCTTAACTGGCCAGTGCCCCTCTGAGGGGCGGGTCGGCGCGATTGCCCGGGGTCCCTAGGCCCCATTCCTCCGCCCACGGCGCGCACACCCCCACCCCCTCCCAACTTCAGAAAGTTTGGCCTGGGGCTCCCCACCTCCAAGCCGGCTCGGGCCCAGCCGCGCCTCCTGGCCCGGCTCCCCGCCACCTGCGCCTGACCTTCACTGCTCGCGGAGCTGGAGACCACCCCACCAAGACTCGCTCCTCCCGCCCGGGGCCCCTGCCAGCCCCGCGGCCCGTCCTCCGGGTCACGCACCGTCCCCGCGCGCAGGCCCCCGGCCCGCCTGGGAAACGGGTGCCAGGGGTCCCGAGGCCCCGAGCCAGGCGGCCGCCCGTGCGCAACACGCAAGCGGCCCGCGTCCCACTTCCCCGGCGGGGGCCATTCGTTTCCCCGCCAGGACGCCGCGCGTCCCCGCGCCCGGCCTGCCCGCCTGCCCGCCCGGCCGTCGGAGCACCTCGCCCGGCTCGTCGTCCTCCAGGACGCTGAAGNCCCTCGTATCCTAAGCATCCTCAGACTTCTACTTGATTCGTGGTTATTGAATTATAGGGTGTGTCAGAACCATCCGCAGGACTTGATAAAATAGATTGCTGGTCCCACTCCCAGAGTTTCAGAATTTTCAACAAGTTCCCAGATGATGCTGAGCTGCTAGTCTGGGAGCACACCTGAAGAACCACTAGACCTTTGCAAGTGCTGTTCCCCGGGCTCCGCCCTAGCGGCTGCTCCGTTACTTCACTTCCCCTTCCCATCCGAGGCGTCCTCCCAAGTGCTTCCCCGGCACTGCGCAGCCCAACACTGTCCACATACCTGGTTGTAACTTCTCTGGAATCATGGCCTCTTTAGCTTTGAATCCTTAGCTCGGCGATGGACACCCAGCAATGCTCAATAAATATTGTGAAAGAAAGAGCGAATGAAGCCCAACCTCCTGTTTCATCAGCTAATCCTAACATTTTTGGAAAGCCTGGCGTGTTCAAGCGGGGCACAGAAAAGGCCTGAACCCCTGCGGCGCTCCCCTAAACGTGTCAGGTCCACTGAGAGGGAAGGGGATAAGAAGCAGGGCATGCCCAGCATAACCAGGTCCGGGCCAGGTGGTGAAGCCAAGCTCCCTGAGAAAGAAACCATCAGAAGGGCAAAGTGAAGGTTGACGATTTATAATGAAGATTTAAAAAATCACTACACAGAGATCTGGAAAAAGAGATGATTTAAAAAAAAAAAAAAGCTTGAAGGCAATGATAAAAGGGTTTGGAAGTTGCCAGGGGATAAGCTTGGTGAGGAAATTCTGAATACAGATGTAGTTATTTGATGGCACTTAGGTAAAACCTCCTTTAATTATCTTCTGCCCCTTTGGTATTTGTCATCATTGCACTCCTCAGTATTAGTTAAGTGGGAGAATTGTAAACAATGTTTCAGATGACAGGCTACTTAAGAGAAACTATCCTTCAAGATTTTGGAAAACATCAGTTGGCATACCAGCAATTGATAGGTTAATTAAATATAGATTTGTGTGCTCATTCAATTGGGTCTCCCAGGGACTGTCTACCTGTCCATAGTCCCCCTGCACCCAACAATTAAAATAACTTTATTTTCCGCTGATTTTTTAATTTATTTCTTTATTTTTGGCTGTGCTGGGTCTTCGTTGCTGCGCTTGGGCTTCCTCTAGTTGTGGTGAGCAGGGGATGTTCTTCGTTGCTGAGCATGAGCTCTAGGCTTGGGCTCAGTAGCTGTGGCTCACAGGCATAGTTGCCCCACGGCATGGGGGATCTTCCCAGACTAGGAACTGAACCCTCATCCTCTACATTCTGAACTGAACCCACATCCTCTGCATTGCCATAAGAATGGCAAGTGCATTCTTACGCATTAGACCATCAGGGAAGTCCTATTTCCACTGACTGTGCAAATGATATGTACTCATTATATAACACTTAAAACATAGAAAAAATAAGGAAAAAAATAAAAGTCACCTGCAATCCCACTCCCTGAGACAATCGTCATTAGTATTTTGGTGACGATCCTTTCCCCATCTCTTTACGTGTGTGGAATTTTCCATGAATGGCATCACATTGCACACATGGTTTTTAAATATAGAAACTTACTTTTAAGTATTTCTCTCCCCTCCCCCACTATGTTAACAGTCTGATTTCCTTCCTACCTTCCTTCTTTCCTTTCTTCCTTCCACTTTTGTGGAAATTCACACACACGTACACACACACATGGGTTTTTTATTTCGGGATGAGATGTGTCATTATATTTTATTTGTGTGTGTGTGTCATTATATTTTAAAAGTTGAATCATATTACATACACTTTGTATCTTGCTTTTCTCCCTTGATCATAAACACATAGTAGAAATTTCCCCAGGACGGATGGGACCCATTTTTTTAAATGACTGCATAATCTGCCACTCCTTTTTTGAATGAACATTCACTTGGTTTCCAGTTTTTGTGGCTACCATAAGTCTATAATATGAAAAGTGAAAGTGAAAGTCCCTCAGTCATGTCAGACTCTTTGTGACCCCATGGCCTGTAGCCTGACAGGCTCCTCTGTCTGGAATTCTCTAGGCAAGAATATTGGAGTGGGTTGCCATTTCCTTCTCCAGGGGATTTTCTTGACCCAGGGTTAAACCCCGGTCTCCCGAATTGCGGGAAGATTCTTTACCATCTGAGCCACCAGGGAAGCCCCAAGAAGATTACCTGTTGATACAGCCTTTCTGCGGAGTGGGTAGCCATTCCCTTACCCGATTCTACAGTAATCCCTATTCACTGCTGTTGTGTTTCTAGAGGATCTTCCCGACCCAGGGATCAAACCCGGGTCTCCTGCATTCTAGGCAGACGCCTTACTATCTGAGTCGCCAGGGAAGTCCTAGTGTTTCCTAGGAATGGGATTACTGGGGAAAAGGGAATTTTAAGTGCTGATAGCTATTGCCAGATTGCTTTTCCAAAGAGTTGTGACAATTCACTTTTCCAACAGCATTGTATGAAAGTATGGTTTTCTGGCATCCCTTCCAACAGCAATGATTATCACTTGAATTTTTGCTAATCTGATAGGTAAGAAGTGAGTGCCTTGGTTGTTTATTTGTGATTTTCTGCTGAGGAGTGTCTCAGTTGGTTTCTTGACTGGATTTTCTTTTCCCAGAATTGCTTCTTCATAATCTTCATGAGTCTATCTATTGCTATTGCACTGTTTGTCTTTTTCTTATCAATTTTAAGAGTTTTTCATCCTTTTGAAATTGAAAGTATTCTTCAATTTATCACTGTATTTTGATTTTTTTAAGATCTAAAAATAGAAAACTTTTCTTGGAATCAGTTATGTTCCTCTTCTTTTATAGCTTCTCATTTTCTCTTCAGGTTGGGTGGATCTCTCTGATTCTTGATAAGATATACAATCTCATATGTTTTCGCCTACAATATTTATTTTACATTTTACATTTAAGTCTTTAATCCATCTGAAATTTTTTGTGTGTATGGTATGAAGTAGAGGTGTGGAGTCCTGACTTAGCACTTATTCCTTGTCACTCTTATCAGTACCCGTATAGATTTTACTGTTTTTTAATTGATTATTGGTAATTCCCTGGCAGTCCAGTAGTAGTGTTCCACACTTGCACTGCAGGGGCCCAGGGAAGTAAGATTCCACAAGATGCGCAATGTAGTCAAAATTATTAAAAATAAAAATATAGGATAAATTGGTTATTGTGGTATAACATGCCTTGATTGATTTAGACTTGACCATACAAAATACGAGGTTCATTGCTTCCCACCGTCCCCTCTTCTATCAGGTTCCCCTATAACTTCCATTGTGCATTTTATTTCTTTTATTGTAGAAAGTCTTGAAAATACAAAATGGCTCCTCAGAAAATCAGAGTGGGAAAGCAGTTTTAGTTTTAAGTGGGCTGCTTCTATGATATGTCTTTTCTCATATGATGGCACTATCCTTAGACCTTAGCTTTAGGAGAAATATTATGATATGTGGATGCTGGATGTTTTTAACTTCAGCAGCTAGAGCTCAAACTTGACTCAGGACCAGACCACAGGGAGGTCCCTGCAGTAACGTGTCAGGGCTATGCTTCCCAAGCATCTCCATGGGCCCTGTCTTCTTGCTTTTATCTAATTTCTACGTCTTTGTCCAGTTCCTTGGATTGACACTTGGCTGGGCTGTCTGTCTGCTGGACATGATCCTGGTTTTACCCCTAGATGCTACCTTTGGGACATCTTTTGCCAGCTCACACCCAACCTGGCTCTGGATTCTTGGGCCTCTGCTTGTCAGGTATTAAGTTCGAGCATCTATTGAAATAATTGTGTGTGTTTTTCTAATGTGAGATGATGGTTGTTTTAAAAATAACTTCCACATATTAAAATATTTTTGCATCCCTTAGAGTAAATGTAACTCAGTCCTAGTAGATTTTTTTTAAATTGTAGTATAGGTTGAATTTAACTTGCTAGTATTGTTTTTAGAATTTTTATATCTATTTTGTAATAGAGATTGACCTATACCAGAGGCTGCAAACTGGTGACCCATGGGACTTGTTTATGCGACCAGAACAGTTTTGAAGCATTTGATTTTGAATTCTTAAATAAGGGGTGCACACCCTCCAGCTCCTGTAGTTCCCACTTTTCCCTGTCATTTCACAGATCAGTCAACTTCACCCGTTTATATTAGTTTCTGGTGCTTATAAACACTTGAATTTGTAACCTCTGGTCTATGATTTTCTTTTCCAGACCTAAGAATTAGAGCTTACAACATAAATTGAGGAGCATTATTTCTTTATTCTGTGTTTTGAAATAATTTATGCAACAATAGGGACTGTTGTATAATAGTAACAATAGACACTGCTGTCTCTTAACATTAGAAAAGTCTTGCCAACAAAAGCATAAAACTCAGGAGTCTTTTAGGGAGCTAATTCTTCAGTAACTTCTATTTTATTTTTCCTTCTTGGTTATTGATCTATTCAGAATTTTGTACTTCTTTTTTTTTTTGGATCAATATTGGAATTTATGAGTCTTTTTCTGAAGAAGAATTTAAATGCTCCACTACATCTCTCTTATTTTCCTTCCTCCATTATTTTGTATGTATTGCATGTCAACAGTATGGATTATTCCAAAACGAAAGGGTCATAGCTCTTTCAGTTTTCTAATTAGCTAGCTGAGAGCCCATATCCAGTATTATCTTTCTCTTTAGTCCTCTGAGTTGTCTAAAAAGCCTGTGGTGACCACATGCAGTTCACAAAGGAGGTGTCAATTAGGCTCCGGGCTCCAAGCTGGGGAGTAGGAAAGTACTTTGGATAGGACCTTCTACTCCTGCAAATCATCTTATTGCCACTGTAGGAAGCTGGTCTGTAATTAGAAGTCCTGATGGGGTTTTCCACATCCCTACCCAGGTCCTTGCGGCTGTCACTTCAGTCATGACCTACTCTTTTCAACCCTATAGACTGTAGTCCACCAGGCTCCTCTGTCTATGGGATTCTCCAGGCAAGAATACTGGGGTGGTTTGCC